GATAGGTATGTATGTATGTCTGCGGAAACATACATACCTAGAAACTATAGGTATGTATGTATGTCTGGGTTCGTAGTGCAAAAAATAGAGTGACCCCCTGCCCCTGCCGTAGTTCAACATGATAAACATGCCACTTCATCCCCCACGTCACGTGGAAAGAGCCCCACGAAGCTCACAAGGTCGTCTCAACTCTCCCGTCCACCATGGTCCGATGTCCAGCGGTGCACCGACATGTCGCGCACCTGCTCCAGATGGTCCAGTGTTCAGCGCCCGGCGGCAGCTGATAAGGGAACTTGTTTCGCTCCAGTAAGATGTCCCGACTGGCGGAGCGATATGGAACGGAAGTAAGCTGCGAAGAGCGTGATGGTGCAGTTGGGCTGGTCCACTTCGCGAAGATCAATGAACTGGCTCTTCTCTGGGACATCACCGATGCACCCTCGCCAAGGCATTTCTCGACACAGGAAAGAGGTGCAGGTCAGCCGGTCGCCTTGAACCATACATCATAATTGGTAAACACCTGCAAAACGCCCTTCACAATTTCCAGGGTTCCACAAGGCAGTCAAAGCTCCGATTGGGATTATGCTGCGAGAGGGCGCCTAGGGACTCTTGAGAAATTGTCTGAGAGATCCTGAGAGCAACTTGGGCAAAAGCAATGTCCTCGCCTGCCCAAGACGTGCTTGTCTACATAGTACTCCTGTGGAGAGCTGGAAACGGGGCACGACAGTGTCTCTGAGGGAGATACCCCTGATGCCTTGGACATGCAAATGACAACGCCACAATGTCAAGGCACATCCTTGTTGTATATACTTGGTAACAGCTTAACATGCTGTCTAATCCCAAAGAAATACGGAATACAGTGCTAGTTACCCCCGAAAAATCTGAGCGCCTTCGCACATGTGACCAAGAATCGACACCTCTTGGCAACTTTCCCCGAACCCCCATGCCAGAGCGGTTGGCGCTCCCGATCGCCATGGTATGTGTGGTCCATCCAGGCTAACCTGTCGCGGTCAGCACGCGTGGTCATCAGCACTGGGCACTTGTGAATCATGAAGACCATGTGGACCACATCGTTACAGAGACAAAGGACAGGAAAGGAAGATGGGACAAGGATAGGAAAGGATCGGTTTACCACTTCCATACCACATCGTTTACCACATCGTTACCACTTCACCCAGCAAACAATAGGAAGTGGAGGGTGGAAATGAGCCGTTCCGACATGAGCCCGGCAGGTCCCGGAGGAACCAAGGATAACCTAGGTTCCAGTGGACTGGGGAGGGAACATCAACGAAGTGTTGGTCCATGATTGCGATTCCTGAGTTTCTGACCTCCAACAACCTTTGTCAACCCCGACCTGCTTCGAGTTCTAGCGCTGGAAAGTTGCCTAGAACTGGAATCTCCTGAGGGTTATGATCACCACCTTGTGGTTGTACTATTTGCTGGCACCTCACTCACAAGCTGACAAAGGTGCAAAACCCTCTCTCGGAATTTCAGCAAACTCAGGAATCACATGAGCTTGCACTCTTAAGCAAAACACATCAAAATCATCAAAGCATCACTATATTACATAAATTAGCTACTAGGGGCTCCTGGCCTTACTACGAACGGAGCAAGAAGCTACTAGGGGAGCAAAGCAATTAGCTAGTAATCATCAAAGCAATCCCGTTTGGTCCCACCGGACCCTTTCAGTCGTCGGATCCACCTGGCATTCTTTTTTTTGGGTGACCTCGTCGTTGCGCTTCCACGGCCTGGACCAATGGCGGAAGGGCTGGGCTTCCACCTTCGGAAAGGAATGGCTGGAATCCGGGGAGACCAACATGCGACAACTCAAACCTCCAAACCGTGCAGACAACCTGCGCTACGAGTCCGGAGCGAGATCTCGGACGCTACGAACGGGGCTCCTGGGGCTCCTGGCCACGAGTCCGGAGCGGCGATCGATTCGGACGCTACGAGTCCGTAGCTGAGACCAACCTCCCGGCCCCCGGGCCCGATCTGCAGCTTCCGCCGGGATCCCGCCGAGGGCGAGGGCGGGCGAGCGCCGTCCGGCGCCTGGGCACGGGCGGTGTTCGCAGCCGGTGACCCACACGGTTTGGGGGGTGCCTGGGGAGAACAGGAGCATATCCTGGATTCGAGATCTTCCAACTATGCAACAGCCAAACTTGGTGGGTTTGATAGATGAAAAGGCAGCAATTTGGGCATAGTTGTCCAGATCGAAGTATGCTTGCAACTTGAATGGCAGGCCACGTGGCTCCCTTTTTCAGCGGTCGAGAACCTGCGGATCAAAAACCACCTCTTTCTTGTTCCTAGTAGCGACGCCCTTGTTCCCAGTAGCTTCTTGTTCCTAGTAGTAAGGCCAGGAGCTACTAGTATAGCGTCCTTGCTACTAGTCATAATGCCCTTTGTTACTATATAGTAGCTTCATTTTTCCTCTCACCACGAGGTTCTTTGTGCTCGATCAAATCATAGTCCAACCCCAGTCAGGGTTGGCTGACCCCACCCAACCCGCTGGACCTCGCCGTAGTGCTTCATGCCCGGTCGGAGCGCGGGAGGCCGCGTGCGGGGCGCGGGGTAGAGGTAGAGATCCTGCGCAGATGGCAGATGGCAGAATTGCCAACAGACCAGCTTTGGAAAGTCGATGTGGTTGCCCTTCAGAGAGAGAATGGTTCTGTCAGTTCGGGACATGTCGACTCCCATCGGCCATTTGAAGAGCTCCGGGTCTCCTCTTTGGCTTCCTCCAGCTCATACGAGCCTCCAGCTCGGATCCGTCAGGGTTTTTGGGCGGCCGCACCGGTGAGTGGTGTAAAGTGGTGAACCCCTGTCCTGATCTGCTTGGAGGGGTCTGGGATGTTAACAAGTGATCTGAAACAGGGGCCTTCTGCTCCCCAAGGGGCCGAATCTAGCAAAGAAAATGCTGAGCCGCATCATTCTGGGAAACATATGTTTAAAAGAGTTAAACCGGTTGGACTCTGGCCCCGCAAGAAACTTTAACCTTTCAGGACTCTCAAACGTCAACCATATGACCACATGTACACGTGATTTGCATATATTCATGTTCAGGAATATTGCAGGGGAAGGCTGAATGAACATGAAGGAGATGGAATCATCTCCTATATTATTTGTGTTTTCAGATTGTCTGTCCAAATTCAGGGGAATCTGAACCAGAACGAACAATACTAAAACACACAGAACCTACAGGCCGTCCAAGTGTTTCGACAAATCCCCTGATAGTCCATGTAGATATATATATATATACACAATTATATACACTGTGAATATCCTATGGTTCTACATTCTGATAAACAAATCTCTCATGTGAAACCTGGATGAGTCCTGTATACACATCCATCTACGCACAGCAATTTAACCCACAACCCTTCTTTTCCTCGAGTAAATCTCGCCGATTCGCCCCTTCGGTGAAACTCCCTCACCAACGACTCACCTTCGCACCAGTTCTTCATGCGCTCGGCCACGCACACGTACCGGCTCAGCTCCTGCGAAGATGTTCCGCCCAGAAAGGTCGACGTCAAAGAGATTCTGGATCCGACCTACTAGGAATGGCCTCCACCCTAATAGCAATGGCCTCCAATCCAATAGCTATATGGCCTATCCAGGCGGATAGGCTTTTGGCTTTCGACTCAACTCACCTGTGAGTGGCCACAGATTTGGTCGCTTAGGCATGGCCGGAGCAGCATGCCGGAAGAACAACAGCACACGCTTTTTTCCCCCTCAGCCGCATGTGCTGGATCACCACAATGCATGTCCCTCCCAGGAGTTTCTTCTCCTGAAAACTCCGTTCCAAGACCTTGGCCTTGTTCAGAATGATGTGTTCTGGGCAGAACCTCGTAGGAACGGTACGTCCACCGGCGTTGGCGACCGCGGGAACGTACGGCGTTGGGTGTCACACACAGTCCTTCCACCGGTGGTCCACTAGCGGCAGCGAATTGCTGAGTTGGGTGGTGTTGGTGATGAAGAAAAAGAAGAAGAAGAAGAACCTAGTAGCTCCTTGTTCCTAGTAGTAAGGCCAGGAGCCCCTAGTAGCTTCCTAATACAATCTACAACTTAGTTCAATAACACACAAAGTACTGGTGGCCTCAAAAGAGAACAGATTCTCTCAGAAATGATCACCACTCCCCTTCACTTCAGCTTAGTTCCAGCCAAGGGCCTCTGGCTGGAAACACTCTTCCAAAGGATTTCACTGATTTCCTGCAGGAAATTGATTGTTGCCAAAGGGAATTGCTGCCACTGAAAAAACATCCATTACTCGGTCATTGACTCTCTTCTGGCCATCCTGTCTGGGCCCTGGGCAGCTTTTCATGTTCACCCTTGGTTACTTCTCAGCAAATTACGGTCCATCCTAGCAAATCATGGCAGGATCGCTATGTCTCACTGATGCAACCTTCTGCCAAGTGGGTCGGCTGTCCCAAAATCCTACAGTCAGTCTGGCACAGCTTTCGCACCACACGCAGTCAGATAGTCAGATGAATCACTTTCGGTCACACGATCTGAAATCCCAGCTGGCCACCGTCCCAGCTAGGCCACCCGGCTGGCCCCGGCGGTTGTTCTGAAAGCCGCGACCCCGGTTGCGATAGAGGGCAATCTGCGATAGCTTGGGTTCCGAAGCTAGAGGCAGAGGGTACGCATGCACAAATCATAGCCAATTGGTGGCGGTTGGAGCAAGGACCTGATTCCAACATGAAATGTTATTGCAGATAGAACCTTCACGTGTGAAAGACCTACAAAAACACAAAACAGCCCTTAATTTACCAGAAAGGATGGGCAAGTGGTTGCTCTCGGTTCACACTGGATACCCACAAAAAAGGAAACAAGACTATATATATATATGTGGCAAGGCAACTTTGCAAAAAAAACCTTCACAAGTGACCAATCTGAATCCGTCTCACGGCTGTAGCCTCCACAGGCACATCCACCCACAAAAGTTCAGTGACATAGCCTGCCAGCGCAGATGCGATGGCTTCATGATGAATCCGAAAAACAAAGCCCGGCTCAGCGGATTTTGTTGCCCAAAGGAACAAATGGTGCGATACAAATAGAAAAGTCACACAGAGACGATCCGGAACTCGGTGCTCTGTGGATCGCAGTTGCTTCACGGAGACGCATGGCACGACACAAGAAGATGACCCCACCAATCAATCCTAATCGAATGAGTGATTTGATGCACCAAGCAGAACAAAAACACAAATACCTGAGATTTCCAAAAACATCCCTCGACCCTCCAAACAAAGAAAAACAACCCCTCAAGGTTATGGCAAGGCTTTGCAGGCTGTCAATCGTCTGAGAAACTGTGGGTTTGGGGTGGAATAGAAGAGAACAGCAGAGGGTCCTAGCTGGGTTGGGGACAAAACCTGTAGTTTACCCACTCCAGCAACAACAATTGAAGTAGCACATGTTCTATGAAGATCTATTAAGTAATAGTTCAAGAAGCTGTATGCTTTATATATATATATGTGTATATAGATATATACTGTTGTCTTTTTCCTTCAGCAATGATGCGCAAAGTCAATTGTATCTTGTTCGTAAGCATCTGCACACAGGTGGGGCATGTTTCTGGGATCCCTAAACAGACCCAGAAAGCATCGCCAGTGGAGAACCGCCAATGTGCTTTCAACTTTCTGAAACTCCAAGTCCCTCGGGCCCGGCAAACAAGCTGTTCCACGCAGTCCGGTCTCTTCCAATAAAACCGCCTCTTCAGCGAACAAAAAAGACAATGTCTTTCTTTATGCGACCCAAAGAGCCTCAGCTGTAAGCTTCTTTGCAAGCAATGATTATCAACCCCAAGAAAGGTTCCAAATGTTTTGAGTGACCTAAGTGAGGATTCAAAGAGCTGTTTTGGAGTAATCGGCAAGATCACTCTGTCAAAACATGTCAATACTGTCGGGATTCCTAAGGCAGCGGCCATCCGGGCTTTTCACAACTAAACAACAAAAGGAGCAAGAACAACTCCTCAAACGGACAGCCCACAAGTCCAACCCACCCCACCCGCCACGCTGCCGCTCCTCTGCCCTGGACCGCGGAACCGGTCTGCGGCCTTTGCGCTGTGCCAGCTCAATGCGCCGTTGGAGCCACGACGCGTTGGAGCCACTCGAGTCAAAGAGGATGCTGCGCCTGGCGGTTTCGCCACGCTGCAACGGCGGGGGAGGGGGAGGGTGTTTTGGAAGAACCAACACGTGGCAAAGAACCAGGTGCAAAACGGGCCGAAGGTGCAAGGTAGTACTCCAAAAAGTTCGAAGTCATTGTCCGTGACACCGATCCGGACACATCCCGATTTCCTTTGTCTCTTCCTCTTTCCGGGGCCACACGATCCAAGAAACACTCGGACCAACCACCTTCTTCGACACCATGTCGAAATTGACCGTCGTGTCACCATCGAGAAATTCTCTATGTGGGGTATGACGAAAACGACCTATTTCACCCAATTCATGTGAGCAGGTGAATCAAACAAAACCCCACCAGACAGTGCTCCATGGGGATAAGCAAAGTGATCAAGGCAGCTAAGGTGAGGTCGAGCTGACATAGAGAAGCCGTCCAAGAAAGCCACTTTTGCACCACAAAACCTTCAATCCTGGGCCTTTCAACTCTCAGAAGAGGGGTCAAGCATCAGAAGACGGCGGTGAGAATGGAAAACCTGGAGAGTCATGGTGGATGGCCATCCTTTTTTTTGTATTGTATTGTATTATTGTTGGATTTGTTCAATGTATCCATCCTTTTTTGATGGATAGTCATGGTGGTGAGGTCCTAAGAAATCCTCCTCCACCCCGCCCAGCCTTCGGCGCCGGACGGCATCCTCGAAGGCGTCCACCGAGCGCCTGGCACCCCTTTAGTAACAGAAGCTAGAGACCTCAAGGTTTCTTTGCCAAACCCAAGGTTGTAGACTCGGTCTGACACCTACGGACCTCAAGGACCTCAGGGAGGCTCAAGCTGTTGAACTCGCTGCGAAAAACGAAAGGTCTTCTGCAAAGTTTGCTGCCCCAGGCGAGCTCCAAAATGTGCAGAGACTGGAGCATGGATGGACATGGATTGGTTGAGGCGTCCTCGCGGCCCAAAAGACTTCAAAAGACCAGCCCGCTGGCAGGGTGCATCCAGAAATGCATGCACATACATCCAGTGGCGAAGACACCGGCGGAGGGGCGTGAAAAAACCTTTAAGGTCAAAGAAACCTCCAAAAACGCCAAACATCTCCATCCTGCTAAACGAGCGGACAGCCTGTCATGGCGACCCCAACAACAGGCCTCACACTCCAACAATGGACCTCCTCGTCGGTCTCCTGGCGCCGCTCCGTTGGACCGGTCGGTCACACGTCGTGTCGGTCTCCACGCAGCTCGGGACCCGAGACGATGGAGGGTGAACAGATGGCTCGAACACAAAGCGGACAGTCGAAACAGATCCAAAACGAAAAAATCGCTCCAACAATGCAGCTCATTCGTCCAAAAAAGGATCCAACGATCCTTTTTGTGTTCCATCCTTAGGGAGGAGTCAGAGTCAAATCGAAGTTGCCATTGTGTCTCAGTTTTACTGCCTCAAGGTGGTGAAGTGTACACTGGATACATCTGGATACTCTTACCTAGCTTGTTTTTCATTGAACTGTGGCCAAGTGAAGAAATCTTACGAGGACAACACGATGTCTGAAAGGCTCTTGAAAACGGAGATGTGTCTCCAAGGTGTTGGAGCCTCAGAAGATGGGTTCATGCTGTTTGGTGTCCCATGCGAACTTCCGCTCTTCAGGGCTTCGGGCTCGGCTGTGAGGGAACTCTCACCCTCTCTCAGTCGGAACTTCTCCGGCTCGGCATCTAAGAGAACGCTCCAAACAACCAATCCGATGGGAGGGTTCCCTTGACTGGACTCTGCCCCAGGTGGTCGGCGAATGTCGGCGACGAGCGTTCGATGTTGGCTTCATTTCGCATCCTCGCCCATGTCTTCAGAGAAGAGGTGATGACGTCCTGAGCGGCTCCGACAAAGAGATGAAAACACATTGGGTGTTCAATCTGTGTGGTGTAGCCCGGGCAAGAATTGCAACAGGTTGGATGATGAACGGAAAGAACTCTTTGCTCGGCAACATATTTTTTGTACGAAACTGGTCGCAAAATGGTTCTTTGGGCCAAGAGAATCTCAATTGACAGTCAACTAGCAGGACTTATACATAGAGCTCCAGCAAACACATGCTAAGTGCTGGAGCAGAAATGAAATACTTGAAGGAATATGCAGCTGCAGCTGACTTACCCTGTGAACATCTTCTCGCCATTGGTTTGAGCACCACCTTTGAAGGCCTATGTTTCAAAAAAGGACAAAAAAGGTCTTCAACGAGAGGTCCACTAAACCCAACAAGATGGTACGATTGGACCCCCACATAACTCCACCCTCTCATACTGTGCATGGAGATTCCCCAAAACTCCCCCGGAGTTTAGTCCGTGGTGTCCAGGACTCGGCACCGCCAAGGATCCATTCGCCCTGTTCCTACCCTCTCCGTTCGCCCTTCAAGGATCGTTTCATCTGATCCGGCTCGATATCCAGGTCATCGGGTCTCAAGCGCTGACGCTTCACCTGCCCAACGGCTTCTAGCACTTCCATCGCCGTACGCGCGTTCGTCGGCTACACTGGTCTTGGGAGGGCTTGCGAACAAAAGGAAATACCAATTACCAAGAAAGTTTCTCATGGTGCTCATCTATGTTCATCTCAAACTTGGATGGCTAGTGAGGGTCATCCAAGCCCAACTTCGATTCCAAGTTCCAAGTCGATCAACTGAGACTATATAGACCCACACCTGAACCAAACTTGACCATCCATGACCATCCTCTTTCAGCCAACCCTCTTGTTCCAAAAAATGGCTGCCCAAACCCGTCGGAGCCAAACCCACTGCAGCCAGCCACCCCTCTGCTGAAGACTGCTCCTTCCAGCCGAGGTGCCGTGCTCTTTCCAGCGCCTGGAAGGCCCATCAAGAAGAGCACTCGGAGCTGGCCATCATCTGCCGCCGGTTTTGGCCGGTTTCAACCGTGATGTCCACATGCCATATCGACCACGAAAGATTAGGACCCACGCCACACGAACCTGGAATTAAGTGGCTCTAGCCCCTGCAGTTCCGTTCTATATACTTGCGAAAGGATTCGAGTCATCCTTCATGTTTGACACCAAGGTCTTTCATCCGAAAGATCACCAGATCAACCACTTTGAGAAATCCATCCGAAAGGTTCCACCAACCACGCCCAACACGCCGAACCTCTCATCTCAGGGAAGGACGGCATGCCGTTCTCGGGTGGTGAGACGGTTGTACCGTGTCCGTGCCACGTGTCGACGCGTCCAACCTCCGCTTCGCAGGGTCTCTGGCAAGCGAAGCTGCAGCGGCGACCTGAAGGGTCTCACTAAGCCGAGCACAGAGACGTCTGGAAGCACAAGGGAAGAAGATCTTCATGGATCTTCCAAAGGGATGTGATGCTTCTGGACGTGATGCTTATGGAGGACCAGCAGAGGAGTGGATAGTTCGGAAGACTGGGAAGGGCTCCCTCCTTGGAGAGAATGGGAAAAAACCATGTCTTTTCATGTCTTTTCCAGAGAAGGAACGCTTCCCTCGATCTCTTTGTGGTCACTCTTTCGAAGCCTTTGGCTTGCTTAGCGGCTTGGGAGGTCCAAGAATTGACCAATTACTTGACTTAATTTTAAATTAAATTAATAGCCTCTTGTTACTACTAGTAAGGCACTTGTTACTACTAGCGTGGCACTTGTTACTGGAGATGTCCAGTTCCAAAGCCCGAGAAGTACCCTAATTTGGACGGACCCATAGGTGGGTCAGACAGTCAGACTTGTCTCAATCTTCGATAGAATCACGATGCGCGCTGTGTGATTCAATTCAGGGTGTGTGCGTGTGTGGTAGGGCTTTTGGTCTTTAAGTTTCACCTAGTCACGAGTCATGATTCTGATGACCTGTCCTATGACCTCACCATTATCACCATGAATCATCAACAATGAACCTCTCCCTCTCCCTCCTCCCCTGAAAGCGCCTCGCAGGCGCTCTGGATCGCCTTATTGATCGAGAAAAGAAGTAAGGCAGGACTACGTTCAAATCGATAGGGTATCTCTTTTCCCGTTTTCGGATTCCTATATCGAAGCACCATTATAGTTTTACTCACTACATACTACATCTCACTACGAAACAGATCAAGCTTTCAGTCTTGGGATGTGTGGGATCATTCTGCCCATATATATATATGCTTTGCTTTATCACTCCTGAATGACTGGCCTCAACTGTTTCGAGCTTTGCATCCTAAACTAATATCATGTCTCGTCGGTTCACACATTCTGTGAAGGAGAGCCGAGATGTGCTTGCTACACAACTGAAATAGACCAATGCCACTACAGTGGGCTGTTTGGTGCCAAGATGCTCAAATGGCTTCCACAATGAGACCAACTTCTTTGAAAACACATGTGGAATACGAAGTGATCATCTGATGATCATTTGATGATCATCTGATGTCTATACCTGGAAACCCAAACGACCAGAAAAAAAAAAGAATGTTTCACCAAGCAGCCAATTTCAAGCTGGCGCCATATTGGAACAACCCTAACTTTAATTTTTGGTTGGGACTGGGGTTCCAGGTATGTCCTACGTCAACCCAACACCCCGAACTGTTTGGTTTTTAAACCAAGTCGTCTGAGGTGCCGCCTGCGGCGCTGGGTGACCTGCCAGTGCGCGGTGCGCGGTGCTGGTCGGAAGGAAGAATGGGCACCACTCACCTGTCAGGGTAATGACATGGTGAAGTTGAAGGCCCCGGTCTCCACGAGTCTTCAATACAAGGTTCAGTGGCATCCCACCCCCTTCGCCGCCTTTCTTCGCCACTTCCCCCCCCCTTTCGCCGCGTGAAACGGCTCATTTCACGGTCCCCTTTTTCACCCCGTCGGACACCGCGCCGGTCTCGCCGTCTCGGACCTTGGCTCGGTGCCGACGAAGCGCCCGGAGGTTTGGTGACGGTATGCCATCCACGGTGTCCACGGATGAGTTCAGGGAGTGTCCTTATGATTGAAAAGGAGCGACAGCTTGGTGCAAGGGATGGTGCAAGCATTTTGTGTGAATACTCTTGGCACATCTGAGCATTGAAAGGCCTTCCAAAGGTCACACACCAAGCTCTTTGTGGCAGGTGCATCAAAAAGCATCGTGTCCACCAGTTCAATCGGGGGCAAAATGTTGTCTTTGGACTTCTATAGAGTTCTCCTTGTACTGGGTGGTTTTAAAGGACACTCCACCACTGCGTTGGCTACAACGGTCCGAGTGTTTTTTCCTGCGGATGACCTCCAAAGTGTAGTGTTCGTACTGGGTGTACATGGCACTTCTCATGGAAAACAATGATTCTCCGACTAGGATTGTTGGTTATTGCCCAGCTCCATGCCCTTGAGAACTATTATTATATATGTTCAGGGTCTAGCTGCTTGGAGCTTTCTCGCCTGTGAGTCAATAGTGCTGGGTGGATCAAAGTGAAAGTTCTCAACCTAAGTCTATCAATTGCTCTCTGCATGACTGGCCAGTCGCGCCAGTCATAAGTGGTTGAAACTTCACCAGGAGAATCAGGTCCGCCGGAGTTCTCGGAGCCTCTGACCGGTCGAATATGGTCTTCTTCACCTGAAAACACCCCACGGATCGACTCTCCCAAGACGAACCGAAACGGAAAAACGCGAAACGAACGTGAAACACGACCACGAAACCTGCGAGGAAAAAACGAAAACCACACATGACGCATCTTTTTCGAGGCAAAGCTGGAAAATGCCGTTTCACCGCCACGCAGCTGGATGTAAAACGCTCGGGTGTGCAGACCGTTTCTCCGAATGGCCATATCCTGCAGCCCAAAACATGGACCATGCTCCAGACCGGTCGGTCCGGCGTTTGAAACTGTGAAGAGCTGTTGTGTAGTGCTTATCTCTAAGAAGCAAATTATCTTGATGTACGATATATAATGTGTATTTTTATAGGGAGACCCCGAACCATTGGGTTTTGGTCTATTTTCCCTCTTCCAGGGGGTCGAACTGGGAGGTCTCCCTATTTGGCAATAATCCGGAGTCATTCGCTTCCAGTTTGCGCCAGATCTTGGCCGTGAAAAGATCCGGCCAAGATCTGGAAGACAAAAAGCTCTGAAAGAGGAGTAGGGGTACTGTAGCGTCGCTGACGGAACACATGAAAGTCGCAAATGAACCCGAAGAAAAAATCATTGGAACATACCGGAACCTCAATCGAAGAGGAGACAGTGATGATACGTTGGCGGTAGACTTCTTTGGAGTCGCTTGAAAATAAAAGTGCCGATTGGATGAAGGTATGAGGCCCAACAAGTGTTTAGAGAAAATCTCAGCTTGTTCAAGAAGAAAGACGGAAAAACACTGTTCCATAAACTGATCACACTGGGCGCAGCAGGTAGAGGGCACAACGACAGTCACGCGACACCCAATGCAAGCCCGCTGAACATTCGAGCTGATGTGACTCGGTGCTGTCAGGGCCTTCTGCTATCCGGGTTTATCTTGCAAGAACTACGAGATCATGGCGTACATGTTGCTCTAACCCTCAAGGAAAGAAGCAAAAGTTCCTCCTGCTCGGATAGGAAAAACTTTTGACTGTGAGAAAAGGATGGACAAGGAATATCTCAAACATCTCTCTACCGTGAGCTGAACAAACAATAAGAGGCCAGAGTCATGGGATTCGTTGGTGCTTTGTGTGGATGTGTCACGTGCCGGGGCTGTGACTACTCGCACTTTGTGAGCAAGCTGGTCTTGGTGCTCGGACCGTGTCACATGCTCTAAGACAGTCTAGACAGCGTGGACGCGGTGCCAAAAACGCGAAGATACATTGAAATGTCTCGAGGCCGAGAGCAACCATCTTCTGGCCCCCCTGGCCTAAACGCCACTTGAGACTTGGTCTTTCGAGACTGCGAAAGGGGACTCACGGCTGGACAGTCACATGAAAAAGACATAGATACATGTTGCTTTCCTGGGCATTTGGAGAGGTGACTCAGGTAGTTGGCGATGAGATGGAGAGGATATCGGAGCCACGAGGAGCGGAGGAATGGACCTTACCAGATGCTGTTCCTCCATCAAGGGCACCTGTTCATCACCAGAAGAGTATATGTCGTAGCGAGAATCCGCACCGGGTTTGATCTGATTTGTTGGGCATGTCAAATGTCCAATAGGTGGTGTTCTTTTGTTCATGGGTACACAAAGGGCACGTCAGGACTGGTGAAAAATATCTGAACATCCTAGGTATATACATCTCTGGTCCGCAGAATCATCAGAGTTTGGTAGACATCACAACCCAGATGGTCTCCCTCCAGGATCGACGAGACAACATCCAATGGCCCTTAGAGGAGAAGTCACGCTGAGCTCCAGAGCATAGCCTCGTGGAGGTGCTTCAAGTGCTCGAACTCGAAGACGCGTTGCATGGTGGTGGATGGTGAAAACGAACCCCTTTGAGAGCCATGCAACACAACAAAATCATAAAGCCGCTTGTTCATTCTTGAGTTCAAATCTGTTCAAAATTGTTCAATGATGGTTATATCACTGATTGCCTTAGGGTATCTACTTGTTGTGAGTTGAAACTTGCAAGAAATGCATTCAGAACGAAAAAGCAATAATGATTCACCCCACGTCTGTTCTTGCAGTTGTGATTGAACATCCATTCTGTTTCAACGACTTCAACGATTCCAACTTGTTCTCTTGCCCAGTTGATGACTCCTTCACGAAAAGCCAATGGGAAGGTCAAGGTTGCGCACCAGCAGCCAAGTAGCCCCTGAAGCAGAATCCGTCCAAGCCCCCAAAAAGGGTCCCAAAATTCGCAAGTGTTTGTCCACCTGTCTTTTACACGACCAAAACCCATTCTCCCTATTAAACAAAACCACCCCCTTTGAGTCAATACAGCCTCCGTTGGATCCCCCCGCTCCGTGAAAGAAGCGTTCTCCGTCGGATCACGTTCTTTCATGTATCGTTGAGAAGAAGTCTCGTGGAAAGAACTGATATAAATACCGATATATATATATATATCCCTTATCCAACTGTAGGGGATAGCTGTGCATATAGTGATCTTGTCTCAGATAGTGATAATAGACTGATACTGGTTTGCAGCTCCAAGTGATGAAATCCATAATTTGGCCTTTACAGTGGGTCTATCATGGTCTATCAGTGTCAAGGCTGTTAAGGAAACCTAGGTGGTTTAGAAGAACTCAGCTTGTGAAAGAAACCCGCCCAGTTCAGTGTCCACTTCACATACAACAAAGGCCAACTGAATCCTGCTCGGTATCTGCAACCTTGGAAAGAGAAAAAGCATAGATCATGCTGGCCGACGCTCTTGCAGAATCGTTTCCAGCCCGACCGGTCTCTTGTGCTCAAACCGGTGCAACGAAGACTATACTGAAAGGATCTACCGATCAAACCTGAAAGACAGGAAACCCACTTCCTGCCTGCTACCACCGTGTCATTTTGCAAAGTAAATCTTGGTTTGCTCGTTGAAAGGCGTCTTGCAGTCCCTCTAGCTTTGAACACCAACCAAGCAGGGCTATGTCGTCTCAAACGTTGTAGTGTTTGAGCTTTAAAAAAGCCCTGAGCACCTCAAACAAAACATAGGACAAAATAGGAACCTTTAAGAAATCGTGTTGCTTCACCGGCCCCATCCTCAAATGGCCACTCCTTTGAGTCAGTCGGCTCCTTGGTGCCGAAGTTGGATGATGCAACTTCCGTTTTGGAACAGCACTCCGACCGCTCAAAATCTGTGGCCTCCACTCGGACTTCGAGTTTCGACCAAGGGGAAAGAACGATTTTCACTGATGTTCGATTGATTTCGTATGGTTGTTTGAGGATGCAGGCAACTGAAAATGGTAGCCGGAACCGCTGGTCAACCACAATTTTGGTGGTAGTAGCTATATAGCTATAAAATCTAGGAATCCAAATGAATAGTGGAAGCGCTTCTTCAAGGAAGTCCCCGACCCTCAGGCGGGGAGAGCTTCCTTAAAGAAGCGTGAGCTATCGTGTGTCCAGTAGCTAGCTTACTTAAGCTACTCGCCTTGCTCAATTATGTAGGCGCCTACTTAGTTAGTTAAGTAAGGGCATAATTTAAGAAGAAAAAGAAAAAAGCTCGGTCATCACTGTGAGGTGACGTCGCGTGAAGTTGCTCTAGTTTGGGCAGACTGCATGCCACAGACTGACTGAAATCCGTGCTGATTGGACTGAATCAACTGCTTGTAGCATCTGGCCTCGCAAAACTGAAGGCCGCACAGCAGCGCACGAGAGCTGCGAAATCAAAGCTGTCACCCTCCAGGTGCTTTGCCTCTCGACGTCAGTTTCTACACCTGCACAGCTCAGATCGCAGGAAGGTCGCCACAGGACCTTCGTTGTTGAGAAGTCGCCACACCCGACTCTGGTCGCGCCCAGTGGGGTGGGTGGAAGCCCAAAAGAATCCTCTTTGAAGGGCAGTTTGAATCAATGATGGTGAAGAACCCCAGCTATCTTGTGGAAACCATGTCCAGTGGGGTCTTTTCAGATTCCAGGTTTGTACCAAACTTTGACTAGTTGCAATGTTTAGGGAAACAATGTCGATTCCCGTTTGGAGAGTCTTGATCCGGCAAAACCCAAGGCTCACAGGGTAGGACAAATTCCCAAACAGCCAGTCCCTCCACATCTCTCCACCATAATTTATTCCTCCTTCTTGAACCAAGTGGTCCGCCCAGCGATCCCCAAGCCAAGCTCCAAGCAACCCGTGACAATAGCTG